TATCATTATCTTGGATTATCATTAGTTATTCGTATTTGTAACCTAAATTATCACTATTATCTTAAATTATCATTATCTTGAGTCATCATTAGTTATTCGTATTGATAATTTACGATAATTTAAATAATAATGATAATTTAAATTATAAATATGACTAACAATAATTTTAATAGGGAAATGATTTTTTTTTTCTCTTTTTTTCTTCTTTTTTTTTTACATACAATACCGTTAACAATTAAGTTTTTGTACTTTTGATCTTGATCTTTGATTTTGACCTTTGACCCAGTTGTAATTTACTACAAAATATTCCTTCGATAAAAGCTAATTTTTATTAATTTTTGCTTTCTTTTTATCAATTATCATATCAATGTTATTATCTTCTTATCAATTTTCATATCAGTTCATTTTCTCGAGCTCCCTGCTGAGATATCCGAATAATTTGTTGCTTCATCCAATAAGTTTAGCATATCTTCACCTTTTTTCGACTGTCGTAACGGTGCTTCCATTTTTAGCTGAAATTTTGCAAAATTTTTTGAAACAAATATTTTTTTTTGGCAATTAAAATTTGGAACTAATTCATAGCAAACATTCTTTGCTAATTAAAATTTGACCTAATTTTGAGCTAATCCATATTATCCAATTTAAGCTAATTTTGTACTAGCAATCATTTGATGAGATGCATCGGGATAGATGTAAAATTTAAATTAATATTTTTAGGAAATTCGAAACCTTAAAAATTTATTTTTCAAATTTTTAAACGAACAAAAATAGCAGTAACTTTAAAATTTGAAAGTAAATTGAAAAAATAAATTGAAAAAAGAGCAAATTTAAAATTTAAAAATTTTTCCTTATTTTGTAATAATTTTGAAAACTTTTTAAAATGCAAATTTAAAAATAAATATTTCTGTTCAAATTTATAAATGTTAAAAAAGCTGAAAAAAAAAGTTAGAAAATTTTGTTTGGTTTTTTGATGCTAAAATCGATTGTCATATGTTATTAAAAATTTGTAGCATAACAAATCTTACATAATAAGATTTAAGAATGATGTCATATGTCATAACTAAATGTCCTCTTATAAAATATATTAATTATCATAGATGATAAATAAGGAATAGTGTAAGCTTGATATTTGGAAGTATGAAATGAATTATGCTATAAAAGTTGACAGTTCAGATTGAGCTTAGCCTTAAGTGGTAATGGTTCTAAATTATTATTGCTATTGTTGTTGTTCTTGTTGTTGTTGTTGGGTACTGTTGACGAATGCGACACTTTAATTGTGTCCTTGAGAAAGAGTAAATTATCATTTGCTAGTATCAATACTATCGTCATCATCATCAACATCATCATCAAAATAATATCACAGAGGAACTCTATCATTTATCTTTGATAATCTCTAATTTTAGCAACTATTTTGGAGGAGAAAAATGAAAGAGACAGGTGACAAAAAAAGAAAAAGAAAAGATAAAATTTCTGGAAAAATGATGGATAACAGATGGTCAGTGCATAGCATACACTGACCAATCTGAATATACTGACCATTTTTGTCAACATTTATTTGTTCAAAAATATCTCTATATAAATTAATTGTAGATCTATTCATGGAAAAAAACAGGCCACCTGTATTGTATACCTCAAGTTTCGGAATCTATAAGTGACCTGCATTACAGAGGTCAATTTCAGTTCGATTCCTAAATGAAATTTCGGAAAATATGAAAGAAAATGTAAATAGAATTTATATGAAATTGAAAAATACAAATGGATAGAAAAGTGCGTTGACAGACATAATTATGAGAACACTGTACACCAGGTAGAGAACACTTAATTAGTTTTTTTTTTTTGTAGATGTATATTTTAATTTGTAAAGTTTACAACAGGTAGAGGACGACATCAGTATCTTACTGGACTCTTAATTAATCTTATTTTTTTTTTTTTTTTGTAGATATATCTTTTAATTTGAAAAATAACAATAAGCAATTATTTTGCTCCAAACTATTTGAAAAGATTAAACATTATCAACATTATCAAGTGTAACTGCTACCATGGAAACG